ATGAATTGTATGAGCCCCTAATGAAATGATTATTTTTAAAAAATTGTTGAGTAGCGCCAGGGAAGACTCTTCAAGGGGAGGTTCACCTTCAGTCTGCTGCTCAGTAACACACCCACTATCAGCCATGTGTAACACTTCCAGCCTTGCCCCAAGCGATCCTACTTACTGTTGTAAGTGCTGAGACTCAGGGGATTCCAGGACCTCATCGATCTGATGAATTTTGCCAGTCATGGACAGGGGTATTACTATTCATGGAAAACAAAACAAAACAAAAAGCGGAAGGCAGCACCATTTGAAGTCTGGGAATATGCTCAATGATCCACTCCTGAAAATCAAAATTACCAGAGACTTAGAACTTGGAACTTTTATATATTTAGCAGAGACTCCTTCCCTGAGTGATTGGTGGAGAAGGAGGAGCTGATTTGCCGCCCGTGTTGAAGCTGGAAGCGTCTTGGAGTCAGTTGTGGGAGTGATCACGCAAACCCCAGGTCTGCACTAGGCTGATGACACAGGGAGGGGCCTTCTTCTCTGGCTGGCTCTGGAGGGACAGCTGCCATTGCTGAGAGCTAAGGGATGTCATCTCTTGCAGCGTGGCTTCTCCTCTCACTGCCAGTCTCTAGGGTCCCACCCACAGACTAAGCCTCTCACAGATCAGGGTCCTGTGCTGCCACTACCAGTGTGGAGTTCCTGCTGCCCGGGCAATGGGGTTAGAAGGTGGGGGAGCTTTGAGACCAGTAAAAATGAGCTTTCAGTCGGCTTCAAATGATACTAGTTAAATTGGGTAGTTCAATCATTCGGTAAAATGCAGACCCTTGGGTTTCTTCCCGTAGGTATTTTGGTTGGTTTGGAAGCTGCCCAGAATCCTGCATTTAAAAGCACCCTCAGTCAGTTTGCACCCCTTTGCACCCTCTGACATTCTGGGCATGGTAGCTCTCTGTCAGGGAGGGGAGGGGTGTCAGTCCGGTGAGTCTCCTTGAGCTACGGCAGCAGCCCCGGGTACCCGTCTTCAGCACCTGGTTAAGGGGGAAACTTTTGGAACCAGGGTAGCTTATAAATTACTTAAACTGCTAACCCAATAGAGTATCATCTGCCATCGGTTTCATTTTAAAATGCAGGGGCACTGCCTTTAGGGGACTGGGGGCTGTGTATCTGGTTACAGGGACATTCACTTGGCAAGCACGAATGAGGAAGCGATTCCTAATTCTAGGCATCCTGCTGAGTAGTGAGCGATGCCAGAGGCCATTGAACTGATGCTGGCTCATAGTGTCCGATGTGTGGAAGAATAGAGCCGAGCTGCATATGACTTTCAATGGCCTTTTTTTTTTCTTGGCCCTAGATTGCCAGGTCTTTCTTCTGAGGGGCCTCTAGTTGTACTCCAACTGCCAACCTTGTGGTTTAGCTTACCTGTTTGTACTCCCCAGGGACTCAGTGTATTGGCGCACTCACACCCACTCACTGCCACCAAGCCGATTCCAACCCCTCCCAGCCCTCTAGGACAGGACAGAACTGCCCTTGTGAATTTCAGAGACGGTCACCCTTTGTGGGAGTAGAAAGCCTCTTCTTTCTCCGGAGGAGCAGCAGGTGGCTTGGAACTGCTGACCTTGCCAGCGTGTATCCTTCTCCGCCACCAGCGCGTTGACCTTAGGCCAGTGCTTCGGAAACGGAAGCCCTCTAGCGGAAGGGCAATTACCTTTTGTTTGTGGCACCTGCTTCTGGTGCAGGGGGGGGGCAGGCAGCCATGGAGGCCTCCAGCACTGGGCAGCTCTGCTTCAGAGGCCTGACCGGCTCTGTGTGCCTCTGCTGATGAGCCGCCACAGAGACCCCAGCAGAAGGTCTGGGGACACGTCTCACGCAGGCTGCCCGCTGGTCAATCTCAGAAAGCTACCAGCCTTATTCTAATTAGCTGCTCTTCCTGACCTCCGACCTCCGAGGGAATTGACTTAATAGAACCATCAGCGGCTATTGCTGGTGTTCCCTTTTGTTGTTGTCCCCCCCTCCCCCCCAGTGTTGCGAACCGGCCTCTAAACAGCATCGAAATCCAGCCAGCACTGAGAGCAATCACGTGCCTGGCTGTGCACACATCCCCGGCCTCATTCAATACTGCAGAGGCTTAAGCTAGGGCCCAGGGGCTCAGATAAGGTGGGGCAGGTCAGTACTGGCGGGGAGTGGGGTGGGGTGGGGGAGTGTTTTTCCTCCAGGGTTAGAAATCCGACAGAATGGAAATTAAGGCTCTGTGTCCGACGAAAGGTGGCGTGTGGACGCTGCCTCAGCTTCTTCCCCTTCCTACGAACTTGGCTAACTAATTTTCCAGTCGCGCAGACCAGGGTAGTTCTCGTCACTCGGGAATGCCCTGCCCACCACGGACCATCACCTGGTCATTCCTCAGGTGCTATGCCAGAGAGAGATGCAGACATGATTGGCATCCTGGCAGAGCTGTAAAGCTAGAAGGTCAAACTGAAGGGCAGCTGTGGTGAGTGATTTCCACGACGCTGTGTTCTGTGCTGTACACACGTGCACATGCACATGCACACGCAGTCTGTCGGGCAGGGGTTTGCCTTTCTCTAGTGTCACAGGAGGAAACGTACCTGGCTGGCGACCGTGGAGTCCCAATAGCTATTTCCCTGCAGGCTGTTGTCTCTGAAGACCCATTTTATAAAGATTCCTCCCCATGTGCAGGAAGGACAATCAGTATGGAGATAGATATCTGGTTTAAGAGCCTAGCTCTGCACTTAGAGCAGCGCTTCTCAACCTGTGGGTCGCGACCCCTTTGGGGGTCGAATGACCTTTTCACAGGGGTCACCCGATTCATAGCAGTAGCAAACTTGCAGTGATGAAGTAGCAACGAAAATAATTTTGTGGTGGGGGGTCACCACCACATGAAGAACTGGGTTAAAGGGTCGCGGCCTTAGGAAGGTTGAGAACCACTGGTGTAAGACAAGGGAGAAGTAGTCTTATGTGCTTCGTGGACGTTCAGGTTTCACAGGAGTAGAAAGCCTCGTCTCCACACTAACCCTAAAACAACACATTTACGCAGTGACCATTAAGTTGATGTGATTCACAGCAAGCCCATGTGTACAGCGGAGAACTCTACTGCATGGGGTGTTCAAGACGGGGTGACCTGTTGGTAGGAGAGGGCCAGACTTGCCTTCACCAGGTGACGTGAGGGACATTACACTTTAAATCACCTAAGCTCAACCCATCCCTTCTTTTTTTTTTTTTTCCTTCATAATTTATTTATTTATTTTATTTTTTTTAATCGTTTTATTAGGAGCTCACACAACTCTTAGCACAATCCATACATACATCAATTGTGGAAAGCACCTTTGTACATTCATTGCCCTCATTAGTCTCAAAATATTTGCTCTCCACTTAAGCTTCTTCGCATCAAATCTTTGCTGCACCCAACTCCTGTACTGGTGAGACCATGTCAGAGGCCATGATCCTGGGAATCATGCCAGGATAAACTTGACCTTGTGGACCAAATTACTCTTTGACTTTCTAAGAACTGACTTTGAACTGCTTATATTCAAAACATCCTGTTACCTAATTGACAGAAACTATACTGAAGGATCCCCAGGGCAAATCACCCTGTCCTCGCCTTTTGTCCGAATCACTTTCATGTTACAGAAAGATGGTGTGAACAGTACACCCCACTGAAAGCACACCCCATATCAAAAGTGCTGCTTTCAGGCTTGTTCTACCACTAACCCATGAACCCATGAGACGGGCTTATGTAAACTACGGTGCGATGGCTCAGGGCCATGTAACACTGTGTTCTGACAAGAGGTAACCATGAGTCGGAGCTGAGTCACAACTAACAGCAGCCAGCTGGATAGCCCTTTCCTCCCTCTGACCTGTTTCCGCAGCAGGAAAAGGAAAGGGCAAGGGTACAGATCAGCAGAAATAGGGATGCCTGACATTTCCTGAAAGGAGCCCTGGTAGCATAGTGGGTTTTGCATTGAACTGCTAGCCATAAGTTCAGTAGTTCTCAATCACCCTCGGAAACCCGGGATACAGATGACAATTTCTGCTCCCCAAAGAGTTACAGCCTCTGAAACCCACAGGGGAAGTGCTGCTCTGTCCTATGAGGTGGCTACGAGTCGGGTGGCAGGTTAAGAAATTTTTTTTCTGATTTTTTCCTTCCTTCCTTTGCACACAAATCAACATGATGGATCGGAAGCAATCAAACGTCTTGATTTATAGTGTACCAATAGATACATGTAATAAGAATTTGAACATTTCTCTTTGCCTATGCTAAGTTGTAAGAGATAGAAAGTTTTTGGGACTCATTGAGATTTTCCTGCTCTCTGAGAACCATCTGAGGAGCCCTGGTGGCATAGCGGTTACACTTTGGGCTGCTAACCACAAGGTTAGCAGTTCGAAACCCCCAGCTTCTCTGAGGAAGAACGATGAGACATCCTCCTCTTGTAAAGCACTACAGTCTTGGAAACCCACAGGAGTATTCCACCCTGTCTTGTGGGGTGGATATGAGTCAGACAGCGAGTTTGAAGCTTTAGTTTGAGAACCACCTGCTGGTGTCTATCCAAATCAGGACCACTCCTGTAACCTGAGGATGTGTTGGATGGAGGAGCAATTGATCTGACCAGTGCTGGGAACTTGCAAAGGGGGATTTCTAGGTAAGATAGACCCCTTGAGAACCAAACAATTCTCCAAAGAGGAGAAGGCTGGCAGGCCAGTAATGAAGCCAGAAGCCTCCTGGGCTCTGCCCAGGGCGACGGTGAAGATTCAATGAAATCTCACGAGTGAAATAGCCCATCCCGCAGCTGGGACTCCATGGGTATTTATTTCTCTGCCAGTCTTTTGTCATCTGCTGAGATGTAAATCCCAAAGCTCTGAAACGCACTGCCACCGGGTAGATTCTGACTCACAGTGGCCCTACCGGACCCCGGAGAGCTGCACCTCTGAGTTTCCAGACTGTAACTCTGTACAGGAGTAGTCAGCCTCGTCTTCAACTACGGAGCGGCTGGTGGTTTCAAACTGTTGACCTTGCGGTTAGCAGTCCAACGAGTAACCATGAGGCCAGCAGGGCTCCTGAACTAGATGCAGGTAGCTGTAAATTCCCTTTCCTACACTTTTCCTCCCGACATTTTCCTGGTCCCCCAGCCTGTGATGGAGGTCAGAACCCAGACTCCTACAGCTCCATCATGTCCTCAGAGCCAGAGGAGCATCTGGCATACAGTAGGTACTCAATTCATGCTCGTGGGATGCATTCATAAAGCCTAAGAATGAAACGAATGATACACACGGGTGCAGCAGATGGGGTAGAGAGAAGGGAATTATAGAGAGAAGGCTTTGAAGTGATTGAAGTCCCTCTTTTTTATAGAAGAGAGATAAACAAACAAAAGCCCCAATGTCCTGTTCAAGCTAGTTGGTTGGCAAATTAGATCCAGAACCAGAGCCATCTCCCTTTCAGGAGCGAGTCGACGTTATGGTCAATGTGAAGGTGGACTGCATACGCCAATGTATTACCCTAACTTCAGTGAGCTGATGAACCAATTGCTGTCAAGTTGATTGGGACTCATGCTGACCCCAGGGGTGCCGGGGTAGAATTGAGCTCTACTAGTTTAGTAGAACTATACACCCCCTGCAGTGTTTTTAGTGGCTGACGTTTGGTAAAGCACCTCCTGGTGCCTCTGGTTGGACTTGAACCACCAACTGTTCCGTTAGCAGTGAGTGGTTTCAGCCATTTGTACCACCCCATCTCCCGAAGAGCTTACAGTCTCAAGAAAGTGAGAAGCACAAGGTGTGGCCAGATGCTATTCTGATCACCCTCGGTGTGCTGGTTTTGTTCCTGGCAATCATTTTCCCTCAGAGCAGCAGCCAAGGTGCCCTGGGTTGGCTGCCTCAGGAAAAGGACCCTGCAGAACAAGAGGGGACTGAATAGTTGACCTTAGTTTCTGTTTTTCAAAAGAGACTTTTGAAGGTCAAGGCAGAAGCTAAAGGAGGTAAGAAGGAACCGGATCTTAGAAGTCTGACGTCTCCGTGCTAACTTTCAAAGCCAGGCTAAACATAACGCCATGGCTTTCCCTTGTGAGCTAATCACCAGTGAGAAGCAGAAGGCTCCCGTCTGTTGCCCTGTGTAAAATGAAGTGCGTTCCATGGTTCCTTAGACCTCGCATGGACCACCCATGGTGGAAAGGCAGACAGGCCTGCTCCACGCACACAGCAAGTCCTTGGCACTGCTCGATGTTAGCTGACAGCCTGGTCAGATCTTTCAGCGTTGCGGGGCTGGGCTGCCTCCCGCCTTCCACTGCCTGCGGGGGGCAGTGTCTGTGGGTCAGTCCCTGCCACTCTTCACAGCCAGGCCAACGTCGGTTGATGTCAGGGGGAGGAGATCAGCATGCCCTGGTTCTCAGAGAAGCACAAAGGACCTCTAGACAAGATGCAATGTAGGGAAGAGAAGCAAAGCATTTGGGGAAGGAAACCTTGACATCTTTTAATGAACAACTGATGTGACTTTTTCCTTTCCCTACTGGTGTTTCAGCAGTTGAAGTTTTCATCTGGAAGACAGTGCTTCAGATGACCACTATGGGCGGGTGAACGGTTGGTTCATCCACAGCTTCTCCTAGAAGTCGAACAATGTATTAACACCAAATGCAGTCTGTGTTCTAAACAGGGATCTCTAGAGAAACAAAACCAGAATGCTAATAGTTTTATATATATTTATACAGATAGATAGATGTATGACATAAGAAATAAAGTAAATTAGATTATAAAGCAGTAAAAATGGCTCAGTGCATCTCACTCCCGTGAGACAGTTGTGAGACACTGGCAGTCCTTCAAGTCTTGAGGGCTGCCGGGTAGTCCTCTGTAGAACAATTCAGGCTATCCGGACCCAGACAGCAAACAGCAAGGCAGGTCACCAACAGTCAGCCAGATGACTGGGTCTGACAGCCCCCAGCTCAAGAGATGTAAATTCCAATGGTGTGGAGAAGCACGTCTTGAAGGAATCTCAAATTACAGCGACACAGTCCACAGGTTAGGTGTCCTGCAGGTAATGTAGCTTGAAAATTGAGGCACAGAACAAGCAAGGCAGCCGCACACTGGTCTGATGATCAAAGAAAAACAGTCAAAAAAGTCAAGGCTCACCGAGCCATTTATCTCTCTGCCCTTCAATCAATCCCGCATGTGTTTATCGGCCAGGTTGACACAATAAACTAACTACCTCACAGTCATACACCAGCCCCTCTCTCCCAATCCCTCCTAGCTCCCAGCTGGAGGGCCTGGGGTCAGACTGGGAGCATTCACATGCCAGATGGAATCGTGAATCTTGGAAGCAGGCCTGGTTCGAGATTAGCTGCAGCTCTCCATCCCTGTACCAAAATGCGTCCTCCACTGTTGATTACATGTCAACTTTTGTTGTAACAATCCTGCCATTCCTTGACGAACAGTTGAATGTGCAGAAAGACTTGTATGGAAGGGAGATGCACCTTCTTTGCTAATGCCATGATGACTTTGACTTCACCATTAGTTATCTGCGAGCCTAGGAAAATCTGGGGCTTAGAAAAACTGCCATTTTCACTTACAAATAACACAAAATTTCTGTGTTGTTGGACAAAAGTCTGCAGGTCAATAGCAGCATAGTCTTGTAACAACCAAATACATGAAAAACCAAACAAACTTCAAATTCATTGTTTCCATATCTTTGTCTCTAAGCTGCTCTCCATCGATAGTTTAGGAACTCAGTAGCTGCCAGTCTGACGTAGCCAGGATTCTGGTGATTAGTTGTCTGTCCAAGGAATCTCCCTCACCACTTCCTCTTCCGCAGCAGAGTAGAATCAAGGGGCTTGCGTTCCAGGTTAGAAAATAGCATCATCATCATCAGCCTGAGTGCTCTAAATAGTTGCTATCTAAACCTCCTCTTTGACATTAATGTGATTTTATTGGGTCCATCGCAGGATGCCGTCATGGATGAAACAGTGCAGAAGTTGAAACAGCAGTTGATGGCTTCCCAGGGCATCTCTAAAGATGTTCGCACACCGATGAAGGAGGTACTTTTCCTGACTACACCTTTTGGGGGGCTGTACTTTCCTCTGAAAGACAATGATAATCTTACACTTGGTTGGGAAATTCGAATGTTCTGCAAGGCAGTTGTCTTAGACATACACATACATACCATACACTGCTCACACACACAGACATACACATGAGGGTAAGTGAAAAATATTGTTACTAGAGTTTGAGCCCACACATGTAATGGCTTATCCCCCCGAAACATGTCTCTCTGATCAACAGATGGAAAAATTCTCTCAATAAATACCTTTAAAAAATGGTTTTTCTAGAGTCCTTCAATCAAAAAGGAAATGTGCCATGGGAAAACATTATTTTGAGGTCAGGGATAACATCAAAACTTTAAGAAAACTCAAGTGGACATCTTCCCAAATCACCGAATCGGATCTGAAGGACGCATACACTTGATGTCATGATGCAGCAGTAGATAAGGGAGGGTAGTGGTGGCTCATGGGAGAATCCGCACCTTCCTTGTGGGAGACCCAGCTCAAATCCCAGTTGCTAAAACAGGCTCAAAAGTAGTGGTGATGACTTGGGGAACATTTTTGCAGCAATTGCCTCTTCTTTTGGATCTGCCTAGTGACAAAGAATGTGTAGTTGCCCATCGTTTTCATTGGGTCCATCAATATTTCTACCAGTTTTATGATGGAGGAAGTGATAAGTCGTAGACCTTTCAGATATCTGACGCCACAATTGTCTCTTTGTAGAACGTCCAGTTCAAGTTGAACCTAACTATGAGGAAAAACTGACAGTAAATGAGTTTAACTTTCAGTATCAGCTCCCAAAGGCGTTTGGGAAGACCTTTAACTGGAGCATGATAAATGCTCAACACAATTATTATTTTGGATTGGAAGCTCATGGAAGACAGATATTCATAGGGCTTCAAACATAGGAAGAGCACTGTGTTAGGCCGGGTTGACTAGAGCAGCAAATTTAGTGACACTCATATATGTGTAAGAAAGAGCTTTATAATAAAAAAAGAGCTTTATATCGAAAAGTAATTATAGATCAGGAAACCATCCCAACCAAGAGCAACTCAAATCCCTAAGTCTGATACTAGTCCATTAAGTGCCTCTTCAGACTCATGCAGTCACACGCAATGAAGCAGAATGCAAGAAGATCACAGGCCAAAGTTGTGGTGCAAGGTTGCGTGGATTCAACGGTGGTGGCTCTGGCAGCCATCAAGGCCAGCCAGGCGGAAGGTGAAGACAGAGAGAGAGGGGGAGGTTCCCAGAGTCCTCCTTATGAGAAGGCCACGCCCACAAGGAGGCACTATCAGGCTGTGACCTGATTGACAGATGGCATACCACCTCCTATACTCTTTTTTTTTTTTTTTAGCATAAATTGATAACTTCACAATCTTGATCTTTCAGCAGAAGAACAGTCTGTTGTAATATTATATATGTATGGATATATACATATATATCTCTCTATATATGTATATATATCTAGATATATACATATCTCTCTATATATATATGTATATATATCTAGATATATACATCTATATCTCTCTCTCTATGTATCTATCTATCTATCTATCTATCTATCTATCTATCTATATATATCTTCAAGTTGCCATGAAATGATATAACTACCACAGGTACAATAACTGTTGAAAGAATCATGAAAAATCAATGAATGGTCATGAGAGACAGAACTCCAAGCTGAATCTGTCAGATCTCTCTGGGGATAGATATACCTCAGTCCTTGGCTCCACGCGAGAAAGAATTCACGCCGAAGGCTGATTTGTGATCCAAGTGAGTTTTATGAGCGTTAGAAGTTTCAGGTTTACACAGGCACCCACAGGGCACCTCCCGAAGGTGCAGCCTGCCTGGAAACTACTCGCAAAGTCACCCGGTCGACTCTGAGTTCCCGCCTTTTCAATGATTCCACTCGGGGAGGCGTGGTGGACGACCCCTGGTCGACCCCATTGGCTGAATTGAATTAGGTGGGCCAATCCAGGTGCAGCGCCCACCCACGCGTACCTGGCGGGAAACCTGAACCTCTGAGCATGTGCAGTGTGTCACTCTGTTTCCGTAGCCCAGACCAATGGGCATGCGTTAATGGACGCCCCAGTCTTACACTAGACTGACTACCTAACAAATCCTCTCTCTGTGAGATGCTAGCCTTTCTGTCCTGTGTATGTCCTGTCGTGCCTTTTATCCATGGAAAAGCCATAAACAAACCCAGAGCCGCGGGAGTTGACGCCAGCCCACGGAGCGCTCCATGAACGGACACTGGCCAGAATCACAGACAGCTGTTTCTTCCTCTTCCTTTAGCTCGCCAGCATGTTCTTGTCCGAGGATGAGAATTTTCTTCTGCTGTTTCGACGGGAAACTCCCTTGGACAGCAGCGTGGAGTTTATGCGGGTGAGTGTGGGGTTGTGGCTCTGTAGAGGAAGAAGGTTGAGACAAAGGCAGGACTCCAATTAGTCCCCAGGTCTGCCACCCATCCTGCCCGGTCCCCAAGGCCAAGGCAAGAGGGGCCGAGTGATGAGCCAGACCTTTGACTCCAAGACCCCAGAGCTTTCTTACGATGTTGGCTGGAGAGGGTAGACAAAGGCCAAGAAAATGTCCTGGCTTAGACAAGGTACCTAGCAGGTAGGTACCCAGAAGAACAGAGAAGGTGGAGGGGTGGGAAAACAGTGGAGAATGTAGAACAATGTGTCCCACTTAATGCTTTTAGCCCTGTGCAGTTCCAGTGAACTGTTAACGCAGTACCTGGTTTCCGGAAACAACCAGGACCACACCTTTCCAGTCAAATGAGAAGCCTTTATTAAGAGCCGGTGACCCGGAGGCAACTATCACTCAAGGTCTCTCCTCTGGCCCTGAACACACCACAAAGTTCAGCTTATAAAGCATTAAACCACTGGTGGGTGGGGTGATTTTTACACAACTATGCAAAAAGGCACACTGGTCGGGTGAGGAGTTTCAAGGAGAAGCCAGCCCCTAACACATCATTACAGGTACGGTAGGCACAATTGCACAGCGATAATAAGTAAAGATTATAGTAAAGTCATAGAGAGCATGAGAGATAGAAGAGAGATTGAAATAATGGAGTCAGACACATTTCATGGTAGCATGCTCACCTCGGTCCCGCTTGGTGGTCCACGTGGAGAGAGAGAGACTCTTTAACGCTAACCAAGGCTTTTATATTCTCTGGGGACATGCAAGCCCCCTAATTACAGGGGCAGACATACGTCACAGGAAGGGGTTGTGCTATAGGTAATACAGTAATGGGAGGGGGTGATCTAGGGGTATCCACACAATAGGAAGAGGAGGGATTGGGGGTATACATGTGGCAAAATGGGCGGATTCTGGAATTAGGATGGCAGCTTAATTTTGGATGTCACAGAGGCGGTTTGACCTGTTCCCTGACTCGACTGATGGAGACCATGATCAGTAGAGTGTGAACTCCACCTACAGAAACCAACCTAATGGTCACAAGCCTCAGGGCGAAATAGTCCATTGTCCCCAGCAGCAGGGAGCAGGGCCTACGGTGTAGTCTGGAGACTTAACTGTCTTCAGGGAGGATGTCTGTAAGCATCTGACCTCCCCCCACAGGGAGTTGGGGAACTTTTAAAGCACTCAGCCCTTAGGGTGTGGGTAGATGGCCAGCAATGTTAAAATCAGCAGCTCCCGGGCAGGGCAAAAACCAATGTAAAAGTAGTCAGGTGTAAGCAGGAAAAGTACAGAAGCTAAATTCAGTTGGCTAATTAATAAACATCTATGCCTTTTGACAATGCGGCCTTGAACCTATGGACACTACCTATTTTTAAGTGTTGGTAATTTTGAAGGTACTGTAATTTTGAAGGTATGGTGCACCCCAAAGCATAACTTATTAGCTTCATGTCTGCTTGAGTAAAAGCCAGGCAAATAAATGTCCCCCACCCTCACCCCCTTCTCCACCCCCTATCCCTTTCTCTCTGGCTGCACCTGCTCTCAGCCTCTAGCTATTACGGCTGGTGAAAGATGATCAAGGGCAGAACACCGTTTCTCTAAGGCCCTGAGAGTGGAGCCACGAGAACCATTGCGTCCAAGATGCTGAGTCTTTAGACAGGTAACAACGAATCCCTTAGGAGATAACTGAGAGGTTGGAGAGGGAGATGCGGAACAGAGGTAGAATTTAGCCAGGAATGTGAAGTTGAGGAAGATTTTATTGAGGCAGGGAAAGAACTCCCAGGAGGGAAGGGAGA